GTTTGAAATGGCTTGCATCTCGTGTTAGTGTTCGTCCATCATGTATGCGTCTGGCTGTCACTGTCGATCCCTCAATTTGGGTTACAATATAGAACGWTGGATCATATGGTGTTGACCATTTGTTGACCTTTCTTTGCTTCACTAGCACGTAGTCACCTTTGATKAATGAATGTTCCTTGATACTTTTCCTCTTGTYCATCTTAGCTTTGTATCGTTTATCTCTTTCGTTGATGATCTTGTCTGGCTGACTTGGCTTCTCCTTGRTTGGTGGAGTGTAATCTAGTTTGGTGCGGATTAGTCTGTTTGTCATAGCTTGGTATGGTGACACGCCGGTTGCTGGATGTGGTGTGTCCCTGTAGGCCATCAACATTTCTTGTATAGCAATGTTTCTTCCTGCTTTGTCTTTGCATTGGATGTGGGCAATTTGCTCTGTCTTGTTTAATAGTTGCATAAATCTTTCTGCTTCGCCATTTGCTCTCGGGTGTAATGGTGTGACACGATGGTGTTCAAAGCCTTCTTCCTCTGCAAAGTCAGCAAATTCTTTCGAGTTAAATGGGGGTCCATTGTCTGATTCCAGTCTCTTTGGTATTCCGTGATGTCCAAACATCTTCTTTAGTTTCTCTTTGGTGGGCTTGAATCCTGTTGAGTATGTCGTTTCCACCTCTGGGTATCTGGTTCGTTTGTCCACCACCACAAGATTGTAGTGACCATCCGGGTATGGTCCTCCAAAGTCTGTGGCTACTGTTTCCCATGGTTTCTCTGGAATCACTGATGGTTTTATTGGTTCTTCTTTTGCTTGTCTCGTTGTGATTTTGCATTCATAGCACTGTCCTACAGTGTGCTCTATCATCGCGTTCATGTATGGGAACCAGTATTTGGCTCTTACCATTTGCTTGGTCTTGGTCGATCCCAAGTGTCCTAATTCGTGCGCGATTGCGATAACCTTGGTCTGTAACTTGGCTGGTAGGACTATCCTGTCGTTTCGGAACACTAGATCCTCTGCTATGAACAGTTCCTCCTTCACTGAGTAATATGGTGTGATATCAGGTTCTTTCTTGTGCTTTTCCCAATTTCCTTTCGTGATGATGTCTCTTACTTTCTGGAGTGTTTCATCTTTGCTTGTTTCTAATCTGATCTTGTCAATGAGTACCGTTGGTTCCTTGTCTATGATAGCTTTTACTGTGT